AAAAAAATGTTTAAATATACATTTTAAAAAGTTAAATTGATAAAAAGCAAAAAATAATAAAATAAATAAAAGTAAAAGATAATTTTAAAAAAGTAAAAAATTAAATACAAATTAACAAAATAAAAAAAGTTGTAAAAAAATAATAAAGAAAAAAAATGAAAACCAACCCTGCCACCCCTGCCATCTAGTTGCTCTTCTCCGTGGGGGGGTTGGGGATGGAAGGGAGTGGAAGTAGAGAGGTGGAGGGGGCAGGAATTGAGGGGGGTAAGGGAGGAAAAGAGCAAAAAGGAGACATCTGCATCAATAGAATAGAGTTGGATTTTCTGGGGAACAAAGGAGAAGCTTTTCTTCCCCAGGCAGGCAGGCAGGCAGCCCTCACCTTCTCCTTCTGTGTTGGGTCTCCTTTCTGCAATAAATAGAACACAGAACATGTTTAAATGAGGAAGAAATCACGGAGCTCACTCATCTGACGTTCAGATTTCAGGTCTATCCCCCCCATAGGAACAGAATACAAACACACCAGCTGCTGATAGTGGTGCACGCTGTCTCCCAGGATTCCCAGCATGAAGGTGAAGAGCTTGTCCATGTTTTGTGTCATGGTAGACTGGATGTCCCTCCTCCGCTGGGTTGGCAGAGTTTGAAATGTCACCACGTCTTCCGCCAGTCGTAAGAGGATGAACATGACCAGTTCCGTTTGAACTTCCTGCAAAAGAGAGAATGGGGGGGGGGGGGCCACAAACGATGATGACAACCACAGACCCCCGATTTCCCCACCTCAGTCTTCCAATGGCCAGAGCTATGGACACATTGTAAGCTCTTTACCCCGTTCTTGGTGAGAGCGTCCAGCTCGCTCAGCATGTCCGGCCAGTGCTGAGGCCATTCCCGCTTTATCATCTCCACCACAATCCTGGCCAACACGTCCTTGATGTGGCCCTCTTCCTCTAAGATGGGGCGAATGCCCTGCAAAAGATACAAGTGTCAAGCTCTGGCATGCGGAGAACCTTGTAGGAGAGTTGTGCGTGCCTATGAGATCGGACTGATCATGTGATGGACTTGTATGCGTGTTGGCCTTCCCCCTCTGTATAGCTGGCTGTTTTATAGGAACATATATGTTTTTGGCTGCACAATGTTTGGGTTGTGGCGATCCTCTTATCTCACAGCTGACCAGGCGGTGTGTCTGACTATAAACAGTCTCTAAAGAAGTTAAATCTTCCCATGGTTGCTTTGCCTAGGCTTTAGGTCACATGAGGGAAATCAAAACCAGAATTCAGAAAAGAAGCCCCTCCCCCAATGAAATAATGTTATTATGGGGGTTTAATAATTGCTACTCCTGTAGCTGTCAAGCATTTTAAAAGCAAGTTGTACTATAGAGTTTTCGGGCATTTCAAAAGGGGAAAACCTTGAATATAGGAGAACATAGGACTCCTCAAATGTTTGCTACAGTATAGGGGGGTCCTGGCAGGAGAACATGGTGGGGGCCAGGTAATTACAACCCCAAACAGCCAGACCACAAAATGCTTCACAATGATAGCTGTATGCGGTCCAACACAGCACCGGGCAGGGGGGTTCACATTTTTATGGCCACTGAGTGTATATGGCAGTAAACAGGTTCTCTTTTCTTTTTTTGGATAAGACTTACACCAGCGATGAGGCCCATCACGCTATCCTTCAGGCACACCTTCTCCCCTCGTTCCATGGCATTCCAGCGAAACCTGCACAAGGGGGGGGGGGCAGATACATCAGACATGATAACTCTTCAGGTGGGTAAAGGATATAATAGTGCATTATTAGTTGCATGTAAACCCCTACAAATAAACTTCCATTTTGGTTTGATAAATATTAGGGATGCACCGATACCAGTATCGGTGCCTAGTATTTGGATGAGTACTCGTACTCCCCCAAATGCTCCGATACCTAAGCTTCTAGTATCAGGGTTCCCGATTGGCCAGGAAGCCGGCTCCATGCTCCCTCGTCAATTGGTGACTCGCCGCCTAGTTTCCTGATTGCTTGGGAAGCCGGCCAATCAGGAAGCCGGACGGCGAATCATTACCTGCCTCCCGGCTTTCTGATTGGCCAAAAAGCCAGGGGGGGAGAGTCAATACATGCCACCTGGCTTCCTTAATGAGCGGTATTCGGTATCGGCGAGTACCCCCCAAGTCACTGGTTGCTAGGAAACCAGCAGTGCAGGGAGGGAGAGTCAATACATGCCACCTGGCTTCCTTAACTGCCTCCGGGCCGGCCGTAGTAGAAAAACGGCCAGCCCGGAGCTCTCTAGATCTGAGCGGGCGTCTCTAGACGTCCGCTCAGACACGCTAAAAAACTTTTTTTTTTCAAAATTTTCTGTAATTTTTCCTAATTATAATAAAAAATAAAAACCCCAGTGGTGATTAAATACCACCAAAATAAAGCCCTATCTGTCCCCAAAAAATGGTATAAAATTCATTTCAGTACAGCGTTGCATGACGGAATAAACGTCAGTCAAAGTATCGCAGCGCTGAACACTGAAAAATGGCCTGGCCAGGAAGGGGGTCTAAACACCTGGTCTTGAAGTGGTTAATGAGCGGTATTCGGTATCGGCGAGTACCCCCCAAGTCACTGGTTGCTAGGAAACCAGCAGTCCTAGCAACCAAGGACCAAAGAGGACCACAGAATGGACACGGACCAGTCGCTGACATATACCAGCCTTGGAGGCCAGCACATCCACTGGAGGCCAGCCAACCATAACCAAGCCCAGATCAGTGATCGGTCCATGACCGGTTCGCAGGCCGGACAGGTACAGACAAAGGGCCGGCTCTGGCCCCCAGGCCATAAAATGCCCCGGTCTGATCCAGAGTAATCTGTGCCAGCCTGATGTCTCTAGAGGAAATCATATTCTGGCTTAGTCTTCAATAACACAAAAATCGGGATTACCAAATAGAGGGACCCCTCAAAGAGCTTCCTATTAGCTTCAGAGGGAGTTTGGAAGGGTTGGATCTGCCTTGCTGTGTGTGTCCCCCTTAAGGGAATTTCCCTTCACTTCCTGTCCCAGCAGCTACTCTGGCACTGGGGTGAGATGGGACTTTCTGTTTCTACACGACAGTGTACTTTCTTGTAGATGTTCAGCACAGGCCGGGAGCCAAGCTGCCTCTCAGTCCCGCACTCTAGGGAGGGGAGACAGGAAGTTCAGTTCACGCCAATAACATTGAGGTGGCCAGGACAGGAAGTGAGGAAGATTTTATGTGGACACAGATTATGCATTCATCTAAAAATAAAGGTTTTAGGCTGCAGGTTGTCTAAATACAGACCTATGGGTGCGGGGTTTCCTGAGTGAGTAGAAAGAGCAAAGGAGTCACCCAGCCATGAATAAAAGAAGCGGCAGCATCAATGCAAACCGCAGACTACTACAGCCGGCCTATCTTCTGCTCACAGCAGCTCCGCAACACTCCGCCACTCATGCAGAACGCAGGCTGAACGCAAAGCAGGTGCACAACACAAATCCTCGACAGCATGCGCACCGACATCCACACACAGTACAACACACCATACACAACCAATCCTGGACACCACAGGAGATGTGCCTTACTTGACAACGTGCTCCAAAACCTGCAGACCAAAGTGTCTGATGACGGGGGGCTGCGTCTTCTCCGCCAGCTGCAGACCACAGGGCACGCACAGGGGGCAGGTCTCCTTGAAGTCCTCACAGAACTGTATGGAGGGAAACAACAGGCTGGAATGAGATATGTACACCAATACGCTTCCTGCTGACCTACGGCGCCACCCGACCTGCAGTACTA